TCTTTCCCTCTGACCACTTCGTTGCTGTACCATTTCATCTCGTTGGCGAAGGTGGTGACCGTGAACCTCTTCGTGAACCAGTCCTGGTACGCTTGGCTTCCCAGTATGTTGCTCTCTGTCTCGCATCCGAACGGGAACCCGAGATTGTTCTGTTGTATGGATATCGTCGCATTTGGAACGGGTTTTCCCTCGCTGTCCACCGCTTTGATTTTCACGGTTCCCTTTCTCGTCTGATATTCCCGGGACATCGAACGATCAGAAGATGATTCTTGCGTTTAATCGTGTCAGTAAAGCGGGAAACTTATCAAGAAATGCGTATCTGTTACCTTCTGAACGCTCAGTTCTTGATGGGAGGTCCATTCCTCTTGTGTGAAGGGCTGCAACGATACGTTATCCACCCAAATCTCTACGGTCGTGTCCTTACTCTGCATAACGGTAGCAGAAAAAGTACTCATCAATGGTGAAAGTTCTCGAGAATGAAACGATGATGGAATCCTCGGTTTGATCATAGAACCGAGATCATAAGCTGGAATTTCATGGGAACCGAGAGGAAGAGCGTAAAAGAGAAGAAAAGATTGATCCTAATGGAGGAGAAACGTCTCTTGACAAATGGCTCAAACCCGATTTCAGAAAGCTGAAGAGGAACAAGAAATGTGTATACATACCTCGAAGTAGAGCTCGACGGGACCAGATTTCTCGACGGTAAGACCGCCTTTAATCATGGACCAGCATTTAGATTCAGCAACAATGGCACCAGCATGCCTGTAGCCACTCCTCGTCTTGAAAATCGCCGAGACAGGAGCCATTCCATCGCTCACTTGTAACCATGCTGCCAAAAAACAGTGAAACGGAACTGCTCAAGACTCGTCGAAAATCTCAAAAATCCTCGGAAAAAACAGAGAATACGATGTGAAAAAAGTACCCGAGAACGTATAGAGCAAGCCCTTTTTCAGGTAAAGTTTCTGAGAAACGCTGCCATAAGACTGGTTTCTCGATCCAGCAACGGCGAATTTGTTGCCCCTTAAATCTCTGAAACCGACTCTGGAATCTCCAAACTGTGACCAGCCGAGTAAACCCTCGTTGAATTCGGGGTTTTTGATGATCCCTCCATTGTACTGAGGTTGAAGTGGCTTCTCAAGACACTGCAAAAAAAAAAAACTCAGAACATGATTCCAAAGACATTGGAACTGGATGGATATAACAAAGGACAATGTCTGAAATTCTGCAGATGATTTGAGCAAGGGGCTTGCCTCTATACTTGCGGAATAATCATAAGACAGAGGCTTCGCTCCATAAACTGCAAATATTTTCAGACAGAGCGTTTAAATAAGGAGAAATCCGACAAGAAAATCGATGCATTTTGATCAAACTGAAAAAAAAAAAGATGGCAAAAAAAAAAAACAACTTGATGAAGCAAAACTCGAGAGGGCGAGCAGCAGCAGCAGAAACTCCATTGTTGATCCAAGAACCAGTACGAAAGTGCAGAAGAGCAAGATTGAGAATTGAGTATAAATACAAGTTCATATGGATCCTTTTATTTATTTTTGGGAAATCTTGAAGAATATCCTTTAAAGTTTGAAGAGAAATGAGCAAAAATGGTTAAATTAGTAAAATCGTATATATGGAATAAAATTTTGTAGTTATCTTCTTCAATACTGAGTGATATTCTCCCTTTTTTAAATTGGAAGACCAAATGTATGATACTCATTTACCCTTTTATTAATTAGGAATATCATGGTGGCCAATGTATGATCTAAGGAAATGTTCTTAAATAAATTTCTGATAACAAAAGAGGAACTTTCAAAAAATTTCCTTTTACAACGATACAATACAATTTACTAGTTTTGATAATGAAATATAGAGAAAAAAATAAATCCGCTGAGATTTTTTAGTTTGTATGTGTAAAAATGTTAATGTTACCATATTTAAGGTTTTCAAAGGATAAAAACTTTGTGTTTTAGTCAATAATAATATTATTATATATATATATATATATGATATTACCTTGAAGCAAATGTTAATATCTAATTTGTTCGAGTACTATTGGATATCATGCCGATTCGTATTTTTCGAAAATTATGTGCATCACCATTCCTAATATTTAGTAAAATTTAATACTTTTGTTTTTTTACCAAACTTAGATATGCATAAATTTTATGTTTACGAAAATTCGTGTTACTGGATTTGATAAAACTAGAAAAAATTAAAATAAAGAAAAATCAGAAGTTGAAATCAAGTCAACCCAGTTGAAGCAAAACTAGAGAGAACAAACAGGGAAAGAAATCATTGTTTATAAGATTATCTACTAAATATTGAAGAGGAAGTGATTAAAATTTCTCAAGGAAAGAAATTCAAAATTTATGTGCTTCTTGTACTTAATTTTAATACTAGAACATTAATAAAAAAACTAATAATGTCTATAAAAAAATCACAAATTTATTTGATAATTAATATTTCCAAACTGTAAAATAATTAATCACATTCTATACAATATATTTTTGTTTATTGTTTTTGAAAAATTGTCAAAGATTTTCATTTTTGTTTTAAGAATATAGATATGGTTAAATAAAGAATCTCCATATAATTATAATCTTTCTAGTTATATTTTCACAATTATTTTTAAAGGTAAGTGATAATTTTCCAAAACGGTATTGATTATCAAATAAAGGTAATAATTATATGTTGAAATAGGAAAATGAATATGTGATTGAAAGAAATATTGATTTTAAGATATGATTAGAAATAATAATGGATATAATATTATATCAAATATTGTGTATCGATCTTATTTATTTCTATTTTCTTTTTATTTTGTCTAATAGTTTTCTTATAAATATGTGAGTCATTTTCATTGTAATGCAATCAGAAGAAGAAGAGATGTAGCAATAAAAGTAATATCGTTTCTTTTTATTTGTCTTATTTTATTTTTCTATATGTTATCAGAGTTTGGTTCGATCTGCTCTATATCTTTTTTTTTCAATCTCTTCTTTTATTTAGTTTTGAATATTCATATATCTAAATAGTTCAAAGATGAGTAAAAACCCAAAATCAAACGATGTGGTATGACAAAAAGAAGTCAAACCTAAAAACTCTAAGATCAAGCGATGTGATATGACAAAAAGAGTTAAAGATAGATTTCAAAATCAAGCGAAGTGATTTGAAAATGGTTAATACTCTCTAAAAGAACTAAATTTGGTGTTTATGGATTCCTCTACAAATTAAATTTTTTGATACATTTTCCAACAAAAAAATCCAATAACTTAAAAGATGAAATAAGAGATTTTTTTTTTAATTATCACTCCAACGAATACGGATACGAATAATTGATAATCGGTACCTTTTGTGTACATTTGTTAAAGACATATACATTTATTAATTTTTATTATTTGCCCTTTGGTCTTCTGGTGCAAATCCGAGTAGACCAAATTTTTCGAGTATTCAAATTTATTTTCAATACTGTATATTTTTTTTGTTACAATTTTTTTTTTAATATTTTCCAATACCGTATAGAATTAGAAGCCACGAGGATTCGTGAATAGCGAAAGAAGAGAACCCGAATTGGACCGTTACTAACGACCAAAAGCAATCTTGACGTGAAATTCAGATTATTCATTCATTAATCGCATACAAAAATGTATTAAAATGTTGATACATAATTAATCTTTACCCTATATACAAGGCTACATTATAGGAAGAAAGCATTACTAAAAATTATTTTATTATTATTATTATTATTAGTACATGTGGAACTTGTCTTACCATAACGCAGCAGCCATGGATTTTGCTTTGCTTCATGGTTTCTTGACCTAATTTGATGACGGTGGAAACAAGGGTTGCTTATGCCCGAAGGTACCCTTTCTTCTCCAAGTATTCAACCACTGTTTCAGCCATTTCGATGGGCGAAGTCCCCGATCTTTCGTGTTTCAGAGCGATCTGAACAAGAGAGCAAGTGGGAAAGACGAGTTTGTCGTTACAGATGATGAACCAGAAAAACCGGCGAGAAGAAAGCAAAGACGAAACTACTAGTCCAAATGCATCACGATCAAGATCTAGATTGAGAAATACGCAGATTCGTACATGTATATATAGATCCATAAATCGCCGGGTCTATCATGTCATTAGAAAGAAATTACTGCAATATCATTTACCTCGGAGTTCAACGGTGGCTCGTAGGGATCGTCTATCCCCGTAAACCCTGCAGGTTGTTTCCGACAAATTATGTCATTCAAGATCTCATAAAGACAAAATGTTACACTGATCAGGACAAACTTTTCAAGAACTGAGAGAGATATACCTTTGATCTTTCCCGCTCGGGCAAGCTTGTATAAGCCCTTGGGATCCCTTGCCTCGCAAACCTCGAGTGGTACATCCATGAACACCTGTTTTACCAAACCAAATCAGTTGAGTCACCCGACAGCAACCCGGGTAGTTTTTTTATTTTTTTGACATAGCATGATCTAGGAGACAGGCCCTTCTCCGGAAAAAAGGGCGAAAACAGAGGAGAAGCAAAAACCTCGACGAAATCTCCTTCTGGTAGCAACTTGCGACAAGCATCTCTGTCTCTTCTGTAGGGAGATATTAGACTAGCAATGCAAATAACTCCAGCATCCGCAAAAAGCTTGGCTACTTCTCCTGAAAAAAAAAACGAGAATGAGAAGGATTACACGGCTTTGATGAGGGTTTCATACACTATTAACTGAGAATAAAAGCTCCTTCGAAGAATCAATTCCAAGCCTTTGAGCATTTTATGATCACCAAAAGAAGAAGATAGGGGAAATCTAGTGGAGCAGATCAAAAAAGGAAGAAAAAAAAGGGTATGAATTAGAACATCAGCTTACCAACTCTTCTAATGTTCTCTGCTCGGTCTTCTGCTTTAAAGCTCAGATCACGGTTTAATCCATGCCTTACATTATCCCCGTCAAGGATATAACACAACTTGCTCTTTTGGTACAAGATCTGGTTCAAAGCGCAAGCCACAGTGCTCTTCCCTACAATGTCAATCAAGGTTTCACAAAAAAGAAAATGAGGAGCTTTCTTGGGGATAACTTTCTTCTCGCAAACACAGAGTGAATAAACACTAGCAACTGACAGACATTTGCGTCGAATGGAGATAACATAGGCGAAAACCAGACCATATTATGAGAGATTTAAGCTTTGAACGCAAACCTGAACCACTAAGACCGGTGATCCAAATGACGCATCCTTTCTGGTCAAGCAATCTCTGCCGATCAATTTTCTCAACTGGGCAGTCATGCCACTTTATATTCGTTGAGTTTCCGACAGTAGACAGCGGGCCAAGTTTTTTCCCTGATCCAACCAAGTTATTCAGCAAGCTCAGAGGAAACAAAGAAGACAAGGGCATGTCCTCAATTCAATGGTGTTAAATTGTTTCTGAAGATTTCATAAGAGGTGAGGTAGGCAAAATTTTCCATCACCACAGTTTTTATCAAACATGACAGAATCATCAACCCTAAGTAATATGACTAATCCAGATTCATGTCCAAAGCTTTCCTCTATTGAGTAGGAACTATGCAAGACAAGAAGCAACCTTATAGCCAAAAGCTTAAATCTTCATGCACAGTTCGCCATATTTTTCTCGGGAACCAAACAGCAAGAAGAAAATCCGATTCAACAGAAAGAAAACAGCCCAGAGAAATCGTCGAATCCAGAAAACACAAAATACCTATAGCTAAATCAATCGCGAACGTCCTTCTCAAGTCAAAACCAAAAATCTTCCCCATTCTGTTCCCAAATTCTCGGCATCCAAGAAAACATCAACGAAACCCAAAAGAGAGGGGGAGCAAAATAAATACCCGCATGGCCGTTCACCAATTTCTCTTCGAGAAGAGACCCGTTCGTGCCCAGACTAACCGTAGGCGAACCCTCCATGGACGACGAAGCACGAACAACACCCACCGACCTCGGATTACTCAACGGATTGCTCTCGGAAAGCCCTCTGGGCGATGCAATCGAAAGCCCTAAAAGCGATTTTGCGCCGGCAGCGATCATGATAGCCGATCGAACGAAATCGGATGAGAGATGGAAACAAAATCAGATCAGATTGAGCGATAGAGAGTATCTTCTCTTCGTGGGAGAACGAGGAAAATGTGACCGTTAAAATGGAAATTAATTTGCAAGGGGAAATATGAAGGGCCAGGTAGGTGAAGAATAATGAGAAGTGGTTGGCCACGTTTTCCTACTCTCTCTCGTTCACCTATCAAAACGATGTCGTATTGTGACTTTTATTCTTGTTTATACGAAAATATTTAATGTATTGACATGGGATTTGCATCCAGATTCAGAAAATTACTAACCAGGAATGAAATAAAGAGGCTACACGAATATGATTTGATGATAGAGGTCAAAAGTGCCATCAGTGGAAACGTGTTTTAAACGTTGGATCTATCTATGATGCATTTTCAACAGAACAAATCGTTAAGAAGACCTTTTTGAACATGAACATGAAAGCGACTCTGTAATTCAAATGATTCCGACAAGTTTTGTCGTCACGCATGAGGATGATGATGATCCGTCAATCAGCTTTGGGACATACGACGGATATACGAGATTTTGATATGTGCTAATCCAAAATCCGAATTCCTCGGGTTCAAAATCCATCATCGAATCATGTCGTTTGAAATTCTGAATTTCGGATACCCATGAGATTATCCGAATATTTGGATATCCGTGAGATACTCAGTGCGGGGTGAGAGACCAAGTTGTTGAAGATGATAGCGAGGACAAAGTACCCGAGAAAAGCGAGACGTGGGATGAATGAGGGCAAGACAAAGAAAGAGAGACGAGAGGCGAGAGACGAGCGTCAAGACGTGGCGAGGCGTAAGCTTAGGTGAGTTGGGATGATAGATGACATCCACGGATACGGGTTCTCGCAGTCCCTCAACCGAGTCCAAAAATCCGCCACTACATATTAGGATTCAGGGGTGTCAATTTAGGTTGGAGGTCCGAAGTCCGATCCGGTCCAACCCGAAAATTAACGGGCTTCGGGTCTAAATTTTTCAGTCCGGAAAAAATCGAACTTTCGAATCGGGCTCAAATCAGGTTTCGGGTTCAAGTCGGATCGAAGTGAAAACCCGATATTTTTAAAAAAAAGAAAAAAAATAAAATTTACAATGGGATTATGCGGGTCGGCCCGGTCCGGTCCGACTCGACCCGACCCGAATTCGGAATATATAGGACTGGGTTTCGGACTTAACTATATGGGTCCAAAAAAATTGGTCGGTCCGATTGACACCTATATATATATATATATATATATATATTATTGAACATTTTATTCTAATTCTAAGTTTTGTAATTATTATTCTCTTTCAATTCTTTTAATATATATCAACTTTAACTTTCTTTCTATTTATTTTTTTAAAATTCATGTTTTCTAAAATACAAAATTATAATAATATTTTAATTTTTTAATTAAAATTCCATCTTTTAACTATATTAATATGTACTCGATGATATATATATATATATATATATATATATTAGAGATTGCCCATTGTATGCATACATGTATTTGTTGGTTCCATCGGACACAGTCTAAAAGTTGATTATACCCTGGCATAAGGCTTTTACTTTCCTTTTATTTTATTTTTCCAAGGCATATACTCTTGTAGTCCTGTCTATGATTGTTATTATAAATTATTTAAATCATGATGCAAAATGGTCAATGAAATAACACCCGTCGTTTTTGTTATAATATATTGTCATGGACTTGTGTTGTGCCCAATCTTGTATATTATCAGAATATGCATATTTCTCTTGGCACCTCATTACCCAATAAATTATATTATATATGATGAGAAACATTAAATACGTAGCTGTTAAATATGAATTTGAAATATTCAAAACTATATGACAACTTTGGGATTCACATATATATACGACTAGATATTAGAATCAACAATACATATTTTGTATTGCAAGACAATGCATATATTGTTTTTTGTATACTTATAAGTTACAACTATCAACTGAAAATTTATTTCTCTTTTTAGTTTATGAGGTCTTCTGTGTACTCTAATTAAGCTTATTATTTAACAAGTGTACATTTTGGTATAAAAATGTCTACTGTTTATTTAATGTTAAAATAGTACATATTTTAACACGGTAATCATTGTATTTAATCAATATGAAATATGGAAATTGGTTGCTTTAATGTCATCATTAGATCAAATAAATGAGTTTTGGGAATGAAACACCAATACCATTGAGATATATACTAAAATTTATATAATAACGATACAACGTATCAAAATCTCAAATAAATTACTGCACCGTTCCAAAATAAAAATCGTAAAATTAAATTAAGATAACTCTTCATTTCTCTCACGATGAACATTCGTACGAGCAATATAATCGAGCTCGTCACGTATGCGGAGGAAAAAAAAAAATTACATATTCCGGTTATTTATATATATTATAATGGGAATCTCCGAAGGTTGTTCATGAAATCATCTCTGCGTGTTAAGCTTCAAGTCAAGGCCAATGTCCATTCCATTGTATGCAATCGGTGCGTACATCCACATATCATCGGAACTCAATAGCTGCACCATTATTTAAATTAAATATAAAAAATTAAAACATGGTTTTCAATAACCTTTATGTAATAATCATATACATATATTTGTGTATTGTAATGTTTATGAGCGAGAACCCCTTACCTTGATTTGGAGCTGCAAAAATTTGACATAATGAACAGCTTCTTCCAACATTGTGCTTATATCGACCTACAGTTTCGTATTTAGATAACATGTAATTAGAATTTAATTATTTATTTTGGTGAAATTAATTAATTATAAATTAATTAAATGTATGAATATTTTGCTTGCCTTTGTTCCATTAGGGACAAGAGTCTGCAAGATCCTCAACCTCTCGTTGATCCTTTCCCTTCTTTTCTGCAAGCAAGCGAGAAAAAACATGGCACCTCCCAATTTAGATCATTTATCGTTCGCATTATATACTTAAATCACAATATATAATAAAAATGCGAACCACCTAGGTTTAGGGGTTCGAAAATGCAAGTAATTATCGCTTTCGAAACCATCATAATTACCATTGAGGACTAGGTAAACTCTCCGTGATTTATAATAATTATGTATTTAGATAAATGGGAAATACCCTTGCGTAGAGGCTCTGTGGGTCGGTGGCGGCTCCACGGCTAGCCCTAGTCTTGCCATTGAGGTTGAGAGCCGAGGAGGTGCGTCCGGCCTTGCAGGAGGAAGCTTCTCCTCCGCCATTGGAGTCATCCTCAGAACAACAAGTGATGCTCGAGTTCTGCCTGTTCATGGCCGCCGCCTTGCTCTTTCCTCCTCCTCTTCCCGGCCTTCATCTTCTTCGTTATTGCCGCTGCTATTCTTTTGGTTCCTCCTCGCCTTTGTGTTCCTCTTGTTCCTCTAATCAAATCCAAAAAACAAGTCAATGGATCGTTCGTTCGTTTGCTTGAATCAAGTTTTTGTTATAAAAACACATAATGGTATGTATGTATACTTACGTCAGTTGATGTTGCATGCGACCGTTTCTTCGAACTGTCGGAGTGGTTGAGGGATTTCTGGTCGGTCGTGACGGAGATTTCCGGCTGGAGATTCTCGTCGTGGCTCTCAACCACAGTCTCCAACGGCAAGTGACCCTTTCCGGAATATTCCTCGGCATTAACGTTGCAATCACTCGTTTCGTCGCCGACAAGGTACGAGTTCGTGTTGATCGTTGTCGTCGTCACGTCCTCCATTCCGAAATCCATCGATGACCCGTTATTGTTCGTGTTGTTATCGTCTGCCGACGCCGCCATGGCCGGGAAGTAGCCACCGCTGTAGCTGCTGGTCTCCTGACAGAAGCTGAAGATAGAGAAGCTGCAGAAACCTGCACTGACGTCCATCGGGTTGTAAAACGACGCCGCGTTGACGTTGAGGCTGAGCTCGTGCGGGCCCACGTTCCAGAAACCACCGTGGTGATCTCCGGATACGCCTCCACCGCCGCCGCCGGCGTGGTGGTGGTGGCTGTCATCGTTGCCCTGGCATAAGGCTTTTGAAGTCAGCCTCCTCGATGGTGGTACAAGTGTACATTCCGGTCCATTCTCCCATTGCCTCCATTTTCCTGAATGATTAGGTTGTGTTAATTCTTTCTTAATTAAGAGTTTAATCTTAATTAAGATAGGATTAACGTTGATGGTTAAACACTTTTTTGAGGGGTTTGGATTGGAGGTCTATGCGAGGAGGAGTGAACAAACGAGGGAAGGGTTGGTGGGTATTTATAAAGAGAACATGAGACGTAGTGGATTAACATTTGTCAAACCAATCATCTTTAAACTTAATTAATTATATATATATATATATATATGTATGTATGTATGTATGTATGTATGTATGTATGTATGTATGTATGTATGTATGTATGTATGTATGTATGTATGTATGTATGTATGTATGTATGTATGTATGTATGTATGTATGTATGTATGTATGTATGTATGTATGTATGTATGTATGTATGTATGTATGTATGTATGTATGTATGTATGTATGTATGTGTATTCGTAAACCGTGTCTTGATCCTCTAGGTATGGACTATGGAGAGCTAAATTAACCTTTAGTTAAAATATGTAATGGATAATTATCCATCCCCAATAGTAATCATGCTTCAACATATTCTATTTGGTTTTAATCTGAGACTATTTTCCAATTAATTTGAATTTCGACATAAGTTTGTTAAAAAATATTGAAATTCTTTGATGTTATGAAAAATTCTATCATGTAATCCAAATATGAATTAAATCAAATTAATCCAATTTTCCACCGTAATTCAATACCAATTAATTCACGAAAATTTGAAGATAGAAAAACATGGATGGATATAGTTAGCAAAAAATGGATGGTGATGCTGTATTAATATTAAAAGAATGTTTAACAAAAAAAAAAAAAAATATTAAAAGAAAGTTCTGGAATTACAAAGCCTAATTTATAAAGTGTTTGGCGCAACCATTTTACGATGATATATTAATTTTTGTTACCATATTCTTGGAAATCGCACAAAACAAAATATTATATGCATGCTTACTAACAAATTAACAATAAGCATGACAATGTACCATGTTACATTGCAATGGTTACATTCAAATGTTTCGCAAGACTACTATCAGATTGGAAACTTAATTTGAATAAATGATGTTGACGATGATGATGATGATCTATAAACTTTACATAGACTTCTTATATATATTCCATGCTATTTTCCATCTTAGTACGGTTTTTAGATTATTTTTCTGTAATTTTCCTTAATTATACACATTTATTATGTTGACCCTCGCCGTTAATGTAATTTTCTTCACGAAAATTTATTTTTTCACACAAGAATCTAAGAAGTTTTAATTTTTTTTTGTTAGAATCTCGTCTTTAGTATTCATAAATTTATTTTTTTAAAGAAAGCAAATGTAGGTTCGTTCATTTACACATTAAAATTTAATATTTTTAGTAATTTATAATTTTAATAATAATTCGATCATTTACTCTAAAATAACATTTTATGTTTATGTTTTCGTCTTTAATATATTACAAATAGGCAAACACCATGAAATTCATTAAAAACACACGCATTTGTGGAAAACTCAAACACGATTTATTAAATTTTTAACTATTATTACCATATTTTGCAGGATTGAATTATTGATTCATGTACTATACAGGTAAAAATCAAAATTTTGACTAATATGAAAAAAATGATTAAAAAATATATTTTCCAGACATAATAATCCATTTGGATCGGTGGTATAGAATTTATAAATTTTAAACTTGATGTCATATCGGATAAGGAGAAATTTATTTTGTTTTATATATGAATTTTAAATTATAGTTTGGTGTTTGCGTATTAATTTTTTTTATAACCGTGATGGTTTCCCGGATTTTCGATCTAACTACATCCATCCTAAACTCGTAATCAGCATTTGTATATGGCCTATTTTGATCCATCAATAGAATCCTCTCAATCATAGGGCCATAACGGTCGGGTATATTAGCGTATATAATAATCGAGAACGGCTTCGTTAGTTCCATGGACCATGGATGATAATTTCCGAAAAGAAAAAGGTCGTTAAATTGTGAGTTGGAAAAAAAAAATTAAGATAAATATTTTTTTGGTGGGAGATATTAGATATAGAGAGATGTGAAGCGGAGAATCAGAGACTTTGGACCTTTGGTTAATGAACGTGACAGTTAATATCTTACATTTTTTTATATTTAAGTTATATAAATAATAAAAATGAATAGGATTAAAAATTGGTGAAAAAAGAAAAAGAGTTTAATAAGTAAATAATATACACTTAATTTAATTAAAGAGCTTGGTCAACGAATGGACGGCAGAACGTGGGGCGTGATGAACCCTTACCGTAAAAATTAGAAGTTATTTATTTACCATCAAACCATTTTTTTGGGGTATCACGAACCCTTATTTTCTAAAAAAAATACACAAAACTAAGACCAAGTTGAGAAACAATTATCGTAAAAATTTGGTAAAAAGTTAGTGTTGGAATATTAAATTTAATTTATATAATAAACGTATATAATTTTAGAAATCGATTTTCTTTACTGTTTTTTTTTTACATATGCGATTCACTTCAAGTGAAATTTGTGACCTTGGGACAATTTTACGGAATATCTATGTCATACAAGTTGTTGAAAACGTCTAATATAGAATAAGAAAGTTGTTAATCTAGTTTTTGTCCTACTCACTTGTGTTTGATTCTTTATTTGTTTCTTCGTATAATTGTGTTATTAACCTTAACTTAAAATTATCAAATTTGAATGTGAAGCAATTCAAATAATTTATATTGAGATTCATCATGAAATGAACTTAAATGATCTATATTAAACATTTGCAACTTGTTATTCAGTAAATTTTTTTTTTGGGTAAACGTTATTCAGTAATTGTACATTAATCTATAATGAAATTACATAAAATGAACATTAATTATTTTATACGAAACTTTTTCCACAAAATTTGCATATTTTTCAAACGGTAGAATTGCACATTTCAATCGGTATGAATTATGCAACTAGAGGAACATATCATTTCGGTATTATAACCAAGCTTATATTGTTTATATTTTGACATTTGGGGAACAAATCTTTTACAGTTAAATCGAATGGAGATAACTATATTTTATTTATTTACATATAGTCATGAAAAAAATATTAAAAACGTATTATGTAACAACTTATTCGGTATTTGTTTTTAGATTGCTTAGGTGAATCAAATCCTTGCACGCACGACCCATCATTATTGCAAATATAACTTTATTATTATTATTATTACTATTACTATTATTATTATTAATTTATTTGTAGGGTTGGTAGCTGGCAATTTGGTGTCTCCTTTCGATTTTAGAAATGCCAAAAGACCAATTTATGCATAAGTTTGTCGTTTCAGTTAACATGGACGCTATCTCTTCGCTTGTTCATTTTCTTGTTTTTGTCTCTTTTGTTTTTTTTTAAAATACTTTGTAGATTGTTTTTGCATTATTTTTATTTTAAGAACATAATGGGATTTACTAAAATTAATTATAGTTGTGCATCTTAACCAAACTCGTTTAAAAATGACTGAGAATGACTTTGGAATGTAAAAAATATAATATATATGGCCCAGTATATTGTTACCCATCGATTATACACTATTCAAACTACAAAATACATATTTTTTTAATTTTTTTTGAATAAAGATAAAAATATATGTTAAAAGAAATATTAAATCAATGTTATATTATTTTTCTTGATTTAAATTTCCACCCAAGAAGTGATGTAAAATTTATGAACATTTCACTTCCAATTTGTATACACAGAGGTTGCATTCCATAATATTCAAGAGAGAAAAAACGAATCCTACCAAACACTAGTTTCGAATTAAGGCTCCTCGTGTATCGCAAATTCCTATCCAATTAAAATTTTGTTTAATTAATTAACGGATCACTACAATACGTGTAGATTACGCACAATACATTATAGTAGTGTGTATGTATGTATGTATGTATGTATGTATGTATGTATGTATGTATGTATGTATGTATGTATGTATGTATGTATGTATGTATGTATGTATGTATGTATGTATGTATGTATGTATGTATGTATGTATGTATGTATGTATGTATGTATGTATGTATGTATGTATGTATGTATGTATGTATGTATGTATGTATGTATGTATGTATGTATGTATGTATGTATGTATGTATGTATGTATGTATGTATGTATGTATGTATGTATGTATGTATGTATGTATGTATGTATGTATGTATGTATGTATGTATGTATGTATCTTACAAATAACAGAGACACGAATATATTGAAACGATGAAAACGCAGCAGCACAATAATGAAAAATCAAATTATTGTTTAAAATTTAGGGGGAAAAAAAAGGACGAAACATATGATTTCTTAGGGGAATGCGTGCGGTCGACATAACTTCCATCTTCCATTTTTTTTTTCTATTTGGGTTTTTGTTAGAGAAAAAAATTTCAAGTTCAAATGATATGTAAGATATATTTGTATAAACCCGAGTGCAAATTCTTTCATTAATGGAAATTATTCACACGTGGTAAATTGTGCACCTCCTATTTCATATTTTAGAGATTAAAAATTTATGATTAAATTATATCTTCAATGGTTTTATTTCTTATCATAAAAATCTAAATCCGTTAACTACACGGATATAACAATTGATCGATACTATTCGAATTTAGAATATTCAAATAATGAACGGGAAAGAAAATATGTAGATATATGCAAAAATAATAATAATTAAATAACTAATAATATTGATGCATTACAAATCTATGATCTAGATGGAAGATATTAAATTTGATTCGGTATGACGTTTTCTTGTCTCTTTTGTATATTATTCGTTGAGATCGGTTGGCGAAGAGAATGTTTTTATTCTTTTTTTCAACATTTAATTATTGTTATTTTAATACAATAATACAAACATAAAATACGAGTTGGCTCTATACAATTTGCCATTGGATTATCATCAAGAGTATGTGATTATATTCAGGAATTTTAAAATCATATTAGAACATTTGTTACGGGTAAGGTACGTCTCGTGCATTAAATTTATATAAAATATACTCGGAAGTTGTGTATTGATTCATATACGACAAAAACGGATGTGACCAAACAATATTTAATAATGGATAATGGAATAAGATATTATGACGAAGGATACTATATATCTTTTACTTAAATAGTTAATAATAATAATAAAAATAATAGTATCTGTTTTTGTCCGTTCGTTTTATGCTCTAACCAAGGTCT